ATATATATATATATATATATATATATATATATATTTGTTGTGGTGAATTGATATTAATTATATATGCATGATTGTTGTTTATTTGAATGACTACTCAACCATAGCTTACATCGATAGCCAAAGAGAAATGATTTTCACTCTCCTTTCTTTTTTGGTTTATTTTGATGCATGACTATAGGAGCATTTGACTATGATAATATTCGAGAGAGGTTTAAACCTTTTGCTCAGAATGCTCTAATAGATGTGACATCGGGGCAATATTTAGAAAACTATTTTCTGCTAGTATTTGCATTAAGGACCAATACCTTATTAGTTGAATCAATACTTTTATTCAAAATTCCATTATTAAGGATAACATCTTATTCCTAAGAATCCTTTTTGTTTTAGTGATCCTAAATCACTCCATTCTTTAGGAAGGCCAGGAAATTCCATTGTAGATAGATTAGCCTTTAGGAGCTCGGAGTGATCACCTAGAACACATAAGGCATGATGGAGGAGGCCCATGGGCCAAGGGCCCAACTACTAGGGCTATGACAAAGAGGATTCAAGAAGAGCGGGCCCATGCTCAAGAAAAGCCCATCACACTTTTCAGTTGGGTTTTGATTCAAGCCCAAGTAGAATAAGAGTAGAGTAGGTTTGGGCCTTAGGGCTTGTATTACATTTCTTGGCCTTGTATTTCGGCCACTTAGACTAGGATTTTCATTTCATGGTCATTTGGATTTAGGGTTAATTTAGGTTAACATGTACATTTTCATTTGCATGTAATTAGTATGGCATTTGGAGTGTATTTCGGCCATGTGCACACATGCACATGGTGTGACTGAAATGTAACTCAAATGGATACTAAATCACATCCAAATGAGTGCACATGGAAGAGGTGACCGGTTGGCACCAAAATTTGAATTTTTGAATTCAAATTTTGGCGCCTAGAGTTAAGTAAACCATACCATGGTTTTACTTAACCCTAGGTTAACCCAACGTGCACCCTTGACCTAATTTTACCTATAAATCTCTCTTTGCCTGAGTTTGTAAACACTTTTGGAATTATTGAATGAGAAATTACTCTTTGAGTTTCTCCCATCCGAAAGTCTCCCTAAACCTCACTCTACCCTACTTGAGCTCCTCTCTTTGTAGAGTTAGGTTCCTTCATCACTTTCTATCTGAGAATAGCTAGGTTAAGGCTTGGCTACATTTGCTTCTTCTTGGAGATTCAATTCCTTGTCTTGCTTCCAAGGATCCGTGAAGAGGTTGAAGTGCATTCCCATGAGGTTTTCTTCAAGAAGTACCTCATCAAGTGGTATCAGAGCTTTGGTCTTCAAGAGATAAGTACTTTGTCTTTTGAGTGTTTTGTTTGATCCGTATGCCATAATTGAGTTTATGTCACTTTAGAGTTGATTCATTCCTAGATCTATTTTTTGCCTAAAATTGATGGATCTAGCTTTCGATTTTGCTTGAATGATTCATATATGCATTTTATCTTAATTGCTTTTCATGAATCATGCTCCACATCTTATGCTATTAGGAAAATTCAGCTTATGAACCTTTTGTGTTTCTTGAGTTTTACTTGAAATTTTTTTCGGTCAATTGAATGGTTGAGTCATTTAATTTTTGAATCCATGTCTAGTGTCATGTGTAGTTCTTTATTTGTTGTTAATTCTTAGCTATGCTTGTTTCACTTTTTGTTTTCATTGTCTTGTGAAATTTTTCTGGATTTGGCCGAAATCATTTTGGTTTAGTGTGCTCATAATTTTGCTTTTGATTTGAGTTCATAAACTACTATTAGATCATTAGTAGTTTTCTTAGTTCTAGGTTTCCTTTGCTACAAAGTGTCTTCAATTGTTTTGCCTAATTCCGTGAGTTTGATCTAAAAAATCTTGTGGTTGCTGAAAATTTTTGTTTAGACAATTTTGAAATTCAAATTTGGAGCCAAAAACCGTGACATGTGTTAAGGGAAAACAAGTGACAAAAAGCATGTTCACATTTCATTACATGTTAACCTAATTTGATTGTCATTTGTATCTCAATTTAAAAACGATTTTAGTGCTTTTAAAAAAGAGTGACCGAGAGTTTGGAGTTCAAAATTCAAAAGCAGAAAAAGGCATCTCTTAAAATATTAAAATATATATATATAGAATAAAAGTTCAAAAGAAAATTTGATTAAATATATATATAAAAGAAAATTCAAAAGAAATTTGATTAAATATATATATATATATATTCAAACCTAATTTTCAAAGTAAAAGCCAAAAAGGAGATTGTGTTGTTTTGGTGTACTTCTCGGTTTGATATTGTATAACTTGAGTAACATACATTTTCAGCTTACAAATTTTGAGTGTTTTGATTTGTTATTCAAATTCTAGAACCTATCTAGGTTTCTTCCTTCTTGTACTAGCCTAATTCTTTTCTTTGTTCATCTATATTGTCTACTCTTATATTCCATTCTTGTCTTGGCTTATTCTCAAATTTGTCTTGGCTGTTTGTGATAAATTTGGACTCAAAGTGTGGCCTAGTTTTGACCTAGTCTATCTCCATAGAAACTAGTTCTACAAGGGTCATCAAAAGAGGACTAAGATAAGGAGGAGGAAGGTGACAAAGGAGAGCTTCTCGGATTGGCTACCAAATCAAACACCAAACACTTTTGTTGCTGGAATTTTTTGTGTGGCTGTTGCACCTCTACAAAACCGAGAAGATACATTGAAGAACATTTTACTTTGTATTAAAATTTTTATTATTAGTGACGGATTTGGAACCCAATTTTCCATTACTAATTTGAATTTTCATTACAAAAGTGGTCTCTAATTTCATCACTAATTTTGGTGGCTGTTTTTGTGTTCCATTGAAGCCACTTGTTTACTTTTCTGTCCAACTTTTAATTCAATTGTAATTGGCCATTTTAGGAGTGTCTTGGGAGTGTCTTTGGTACACTACCATCTCTCCTTAGGGATCTTAATTTCGTTAGACTTGGTGAAAGTGGTCCTTGATTGTCTTTGGCACCTCTCAAACTTTCACCTTAGGAATCCGTGTAGGTAGTTTTTAATTTCTTGCAATTTAATTTGTTTTAGTTGTCCTAATTCGTCTAGTTATTCACATATCACAAATCACAAAAAAATAATTTTCATTGAAAATATTTTTTGGTGAGGATTAACTACAAGGGGGATTAGTAATTTTTACTTGAAGAGGCTTGGTTATTAAGTGGCTCTTAGTAGATCACCTCCCTCCAAAGTTCAATTTGTATACTTAGTCCTCCAAGTACTTAGTCTTAACCTTTAAAAATTGCTTTCAAAAAGTCTTTCATAAAACAATATCTTTCACCTATAATGGAAGAATTTTCTACTCCTCATAGTGATAGTAATTCAAGTGATTACAATGATATTTCCAAAGTATCACGTGAATTAAGATCACTCAAGATTTGGAAAGAGCAAGAGGCCAAACAAAGACTTAAAGAAAAATTTGAAAGAGAGGCTCAAATTGCTCTTTTGGAAGAGAAAATTTGTCTATTAAAGGAAAAAGAGGAAAAATTGCACAATAGACACCGAAGTAAACATAGTTCTCAAGCTCATAGTTCAACCATAGGAGAATCCATGCATGATGATAGCCTAGCCTTAGGTGATCATTATCAACCACCTCCTAGGAGAGTTCATAAGACCCCCAAAGCTAGGGAATCTAGGGTAGATCTCCCTTATTTTCATGGCAAAGATGATGTGGAGGGGTACCTTGATTGGGAAATGAAGGTTGAAAAAATCTTCACTTGCCATCAAGTGAGTGAAGAAAGAAAAGTATCTCTAGCCACCTTGAGCTTCCAAGGCCACGCCATGTATTGGTGGACATCCCTTGTTAGGGATAGGCGCCTCCATAATGACCCTCTAATTCAATGTTGGAATGAGTTAAGGAGTGCTTTGAGAAGAAGACACATTCCCTCATACTACACTAGGGAGCTTATCAATAAGCTCTAAAGACTCCATCAAAAGAACATGATTGTAGAAGAATATAGACAAACCATGAAGTTATATTTAATGAGGGCTGACATTAGAGAGGAAGAAGACATTACCATTGCTAGATTTTTGAGTAGTTTAACTTTTGAAATAAGAGATAAGGTTGAGCTTTTACCTTATAGAGATTTGAATGACTTGGTTCAACTTTGTATCAAGGTTGAG